CGGGGATGCAACTGCCGGATCCCTCCCCGCTGCTCGGCCCCGGCTGCTGAGCGGAGCGTCGTCGCTCGTGGGATGCACTCCCGGGCGCTTGGAATGGTCGGGATGCAGCGAAGAGCCGCTGTTGGGCGGCAGTGCTGGAGGCCAAGCTGGGCTCGGGCTTTTCCCCGAGTGTCCCAGTGCTATTCCCCTGGTTCCTGGCCAAATCTGGGACATCGTGGGCTTCCAGAGCCCCTTTGCGCTCTGGAAACGCTCCCAAACCCGTGTTGCTTCCAATCGCTTCGGCCTCCCCTTGGGCTTGCAGCAGTGGAGACCCTCTGGCACCTCCGGATGAGGCCGCCTTGCTTTTGGGGGAGAAACAGTGGTTTTTGGGGCCATGGCATTTTGCATCCAGGGTGTGATACTCGGATGCCGCCTGCGCTCGGATGGGCCCCCGGGACACATGATCCCTGTGCCAGAGGCTCCGAGGCTGCAGCGGGACCCGGACGTCTCCTCCCGCCCGCGGGGGCTTCCTGGCCTTTGTTTGCAGAGCGGCCTCCCGAATAACAGCAGGATCCGGACATCCCGCATCCCCGAGCCGGTGCTTCCTTGCCAAGGAGTCCCCAGGCCGGCAAGGAGCGGCCGGAGCCCGTCCTGGAGGACACGGGGTGTTTGCGCGGGGTCGTTATCCCTCAAATGAGCCCCATCCGGAGAGCGGATGGAGCTGCCGTTAGCCCAGCGCACCCAGCGAGCTCCCACCTCCATCCTTGCTGGAAGCATCCCATCACCGGGAATCGGGTTGGGGACAGGGATTGGGATGGAGAGAGCGGGAGGTGAGATGAAGGGAGAGGGAATTGGGGTGAAGGAAGAGGGATTGGGATGGAGAGAGTGGGAGAGAGGGAATTGGGGTGGAGAGGGGACTGGGGTGGAGAGAGAGGGAATAGGGATGGAGAAGGGGGAATTTGGATTGAGTGGGAAGGAATAGGGATGGAGAAGGGGAAATTGGGGTGGAGAAAGTGGAATTTAGAGGGGGAAGGGGGAATAGGGATGGACTGGGGAGTAATAGGGATGAGAGGAGAGCAGTAAGGATGGAGAAAGGGGGAATAGGGATGGAGAAGGGGAAATAGAGATGGAGAAGGGGGCATCTGCATTGAGTGCGAAGGAATAGGGATGGAGATGGGGAATAGAGTTGGAGAAGGGAGATTAGGGATGGAGAAGGGAGAATTTGCATTGAGTTGGAAGAAATAGGGATGGAGAAGGGAAAATTGAGGTGGAGAAAATGGAATGTGGAGGGAGAAGGGGAAATAGGGATGGACTGGGGAGTGATAGGTTGGGATAGGAGAGCAATAAGGATGGATAAGGGAGAAATTGGGCTGGAGAAGGGAGGAATTGGGCTGGAAAGGGGGACAGTTGGATTGGAGCAGGGGGAATGGGGCTGGAGAAAGAACTGGATGGAGAAGGGGAGCTGGCTGCTCTCAGGGCCTTTCCCAGGAACTCTTGGAGGAGGTGGGAGCAGGATGGGCCGGAGCTGGATCCTGCTGGCTCCACAGCTAAGGCCAGAGCTGCCTCCAGGATGTGCCAAGGGGGCTGTCCCGGTTTCAACCTGTCTTATCCCGTTCTAAACTCCAAGGGGAGTCGGGAACGACCCCTCGCCCGACACCGCTCGCGTCGCGCACCCAGCACACACATTGGGGTCTGCACCGTTCCCCTATTCCCGTCCATCGTTCCCGTGTGGCGTTTTCCAGGGGCAGTGCCTGGGAAGGGGAGGGAAGGCTTGGGAGCTGCGTGGGAGCACGGCTGCCGCGGCCCCAATCCCATCGCCAGGGCTCTGTTCCTCTTGCAGCTTGACCTGGTGTGCAGTTCCTGCCTGGTGCGGCTTAGCGGGAATAGCAGTGCTTTGTTTTCCTGGCAAAGTGGGAAAGGAGGTTGCTCCGGCCCCCGCATCCAATGCTGGGGTCCAGCTGCTCCGTGGGGATGGAGGACGGGGCTCTGAGGGGGGTCTGTGCATTGTCCTGCTCTGGTCTCTGCATTGCCCTGGCTTTATCCCGGGCTGCTCTGGGGCTTGGGAAGGCTCCGGCCACCACTGCAGCTTGGGAATCTCCCATTTCTGGGTCTTTGGGCAGCTTCTTGCATGGCACCGTGGGCACCACCTTGCACAGCTGGGCCTTTGCACTGACGGGCCTTGGCATGGTGTCTTGTATAGCATCTTGCACAACTGGGCCTTTGTGCAATGTCCTGTGTGGCACCTTGCACAGCTGGGCCTCTGCACGGTGTCTTGAATGGTGTCTTGCACGGTGTCTTGCACAGCTCGATCTTTGCAGAGCACCCTGCATAGCTGGGCCTTTGCATGGGGTCTCGTGTGGCACCTTGCACAGCTGGGCCTTTGCACGGTGTCTTGCACAGGTGGGCTTTTGCATGGCACCTTGCATGGTGTCTTGCATGGCGCCTTGCACGGTGCCTTGCACAGCTGGGCCTTTGCACAGTGTCTTGCACAGCTGGGCTTTTGCATGGCACCTTGCATGGTGTCTTGCATGGCACCTTGCACAGCTGGGCCTTTGCACAACTGGGCATTTGCATGGCACCTTGCATGGTGTCTTGCATGGCACCTTGCACAGCTGGGCCCTGCACAGTGTCCCGCACAGCGCCTTGCCCTGCCAGGCCTTTGCCCAGTGCCTCATACGTCACCATATGCAGCACGGCCTTTGCCCAGCGCCTTGCCCGGCACCTTGCACAGCGCCCCGAGCAGCACCGAGAGCAGCGGGGCCGTTGGTGCCGCCTTGCAACACACATCCATGCAAGGTCCCGCACCATCCCCACGGGTGTCCCCATGTCACCACCACCCCAATGCAGCCGCCTGAGCCCTGGGGCTGCACGGGGAGGTTTCCGGGTGCGCTCAGGGCGCCGTCAGCGCTTGGAATATGCTGCGGGAGCGAGCGGCCGCGCCACGATGGACGTGCGGGGCCATTAGCCTAATGCAATTGCCGTGCGGGCAGCTGTAAAGTGACACCAATTGCTGCCGAGATTTATAGGAAAGGCGTCCCAGCGGGGGTGGCTAAGTGGGAAAAGGCTTGCGGTGCCAGCGGGATCCGCTCACCCGCCTCTCCCTCCGCTCTCTTGCAGGGTGTTTAAGAAAGCGAGTCCCAACGGGAAGGTGAGACGGGGCCTTTCCCGACGGAGAACTGCGCTTTTCCATCCTTTGCTCCTGGGATGGATGCGGGTGGCGCTGCACAGCCTTGTGTGGAGCTCGGGAAGGAGGGAGGGAAAGAAGAATGGAAGGAAAAGGGAAAGGAGGGAAGGAGGGAGAAGAGTTGGGAAGAGGAAGAGTGGGAGGGGAGGAAGCAGGGAAGGGAGGGAGGAAGGGAAAGGAGGAAGAGAGATGGGAAGTAGGGAGGAAAGGAAGGGAAGGAGAGAGGAAAGAGCGAGGGATACGGGAAAGGAAGAGGAGGATGGAGGAAGCAGAGAGGGAGGGAGGAAGAGGAGGCAGCAGTGGGGGCAGGAGGAAGGCAGCAGCCCAATATTCTGTGGGCTGCAGAGGAGGAGGAGGAGGAGGGAGCGAAGGGAGGCAGCAGCTCAGCCCGGATGCGGCGACTCCTTTCTGGGCACCAAGGGGGATTAGAGGGGATGAGCCCGAGGGCCGGAGCTCTTCCCGGCGGGATGCGCCGGCGCTCCCGGACCACTCTCTTCTCGCCGCAGCTCACGGTCTACCTGGGCAAGCGGGACTTCGTGGATCACATCGACGTGGTGGATCCCGTGGGTAAGCGGCCGCCCAGCGGGATGCGGGATGCAGCGTGCCCGGCAGGAGATTCGGCTTTAATAATATATATGTATATATGCGTTTAATGACTGCTTTGCGTGTCAGAGCCCCCCAAACCCGCGTGTTTTGGAGCGTAGCAATGGGAAGAGCTGGATGGGGAAGCGATGGACTGGGGTTTGCTTTGCCCTCGGCCCTCACCGCCCCGTGCTCTCTTGCAGACGGCGTCGTGCTGGTGGACCCCGAGTACCTGAAGGAAAGGAAAGGTAATGGGTGGAGAGCGTGACTGCACCCCGTGCTGTGCCCTGCGCCGCTCCTGCGCTGCACCCTGCATCGCAGCCCGCATTGCACCCCATGCTGCACCTGTGCTGCAAGCCATGTTGCACCCCACGTTGCACCCCATGTTGTGCTCCACACTGTGTCCTACTTTGCACCCTGTGTTGCAGCCCCTGCCCTCTGTGTTGCACCCTACATTTCATCCCGTTGCACCCCACTTTGCACCCCCTGTACTCCATGTTGTACCCCATTTGGCACCTCACGTTGCACTTTGCATTGCACCCCCTGCACCCATGTTGCATCCCATCTTATGTCCCATATTGCAGCCCACATTGCACCCTGTGCTGCATCCTGCATTGCATCTCACATTGCATCCTATATTGCACCCTGTGTTGCACCCCACATTGCACACCCTTGCACCCCACGTTGAACCTCTATACCCTAGATTGCATCTTGCATTGTACCCCACATTGCACCCTGTGTTGCACTCCCCATTGCACCCCACATTTCACCTCTGTGCACCCCATGCTGCATCCCACACTGCACCTTATATTGCACCCTTCATTGCACCATGTTGCACCCCATGCTGCACCCCACATTTCACCCTGCTTTGCACCATGTTACACCCCCATTGCACCCCACATTGCACACTGTGCTGCACCCCACATTACACCGTGTATTGCACCCTGTATTGCACTGTGTTGCCTCCCCTTGTGCCCTGCATTGCAGCATTTTTCACTCCCTGTTGCACCCTGTGTTTCACCCCACATTACACCCTATATTGCACCGTGTTGCACGATGTTGCACCCCACATTGCACCCTAGATTTCACTCCCCATTGCACCCTGCATTGCACTTTGCACTGCACCGTGTTGCACCCCACATTACACCGTGTTGCACCCTGTATTGCACCATGTTGCACCCCACATTGCACCCTATATTTCACTCCGCATTGCACCCTGCATTGCACTTTGCATTGCACCGTGTTGCACCCCACATTATACCCTGTGTTGCACCATGTTGCACCCCACATTGCACCCTATATTTCACTCCGCATTGCACCCTGCATTGCACCGTGTTGCACCCCACATTACACCCTGTGTCGCACCCTGTATTGCACCATGTTGCACCCCACATTGCACCCTATATTTTACTCCGCGTTGCACCCTGCATTGCACTTTGCATTGCACCGTGTTGCACCCCACATTACACCGTGTTGCACCCTGTATTGCACCATGTTGCACCCCACATTGCACCCTATATTTCACTCCACATTGCACCTTGCATTGCACTTTGTTGCACCCCACATTGCACCCTATATTTCACTCTGCATTGCACCCTGCACTGCACTGCACTTTGCATTGCACCGTGTTGCACCCCACATTACACC